ATTACACCCCCCCCCCCCCCACGTCTTTAAATGTTAACTTTAGTGTGTCATGTCAAAAACGTATGAAGACAAACATTCCCACCATCATAGTTCATATAGCATTGAAATAAAGCTCACAGATCATAGTAATGGGTAAACAAGTGAAAGAAATTTGACAGTGCTTACACAATGACTAATATCCTGTCTAGAGTTCAACACATGGTCTACTTTGTAAATGCTCCATAGTTAATTGAAGCAACTAGTGCTTATTCAATTTTTCAAAAACAGTGCATGAAAGAAAGTCACATAAAAGGAGTAGATAAATGCTATATTTAGCAGTAAACAAAGTGTTCCTTTTTAATTTGTCCAGATTTATCTGATAGCTAGCCACATAAATAGAAAATGTCTATTATTGTTCTCAACTAATAATTTATGATTAAATAAAACAATAAAAAAAATATGTAGTGTCAATTTAAGTACTTTGATATGTGCCATACACATAATAGTTGGACAAACCAAATACATAATAGTTGGACACTATCAGTGTACTTTTTAAAATAAACATCTTTTAAGACAATTAATTTGGCTTATTTGAAATTCAATAAGACGTCATTTCAGAATTTGATGATTTGAAGACCAATTTGGTTTGTTAGGAAATTAAATCCAGTTTTCCCAACATTTTCTAACAGATAACTGCATTTCCTGTATAAGAAAAAAATAATACTCCTTTTATACATTTACTTGATACAAGAGGCTGTGTTGTTTACAAACATACACCACAAGATTCAGTAACAGTGTTGAAGTGCACAGTAGCTTTAACAGTATCAAATGTAATTGAATAAAAATTTAACGTTTTGGAAGTATACATGTTTTTAACTAAAAGTGACTTGTTACAGGGTTTTGGTTAAAATCGGTTCATGTCTGTAGTCTCTGTACCAGCAGCTAATAATAAACAGCAACAATGTTTTATAAGTTATGTCCAACAATCATTTTGTTGATAATGGCTTCTTGCCCCATCAGTAAAAAAAAACCCAAAACATCACCACAAAAACAGCTGTTGATATTTAATAAGACAAGTAAATCAAATGGCTCTAAACAAAAACCAAAGAAAACACTTTAAGAATATTAAGTTTACAAAAAAAAATAAAAATAATAATAATATTTATATGTAATTTTTAAATGCAATATTGCACTCAAGAAACAGATCCGCAATTTTTTTTACCGTAACTTCAATTAGTGATCTAATCTTTTATATATATTTATGTACATTTTAAAATATATTTGATTATCTGATATTATACAAGACTCAAAGGTCAAATAATTGTTCAAAATGGGTAATAAATCAGATGAGATCAAAGGTACTGGACCAATAAACAAACACACAACTGTGGCACAAAACTCAGTCTTTAAACATTGCTTCCCAAACTTGAATACCCAGCTAAAGCTTACCCCAGGAAACTAATGCCTACAGAATTTATAGATGTACTTATCAAGGGAGTTAAAAATTATATTTAATTATCTGAATTCATTAACATTTTAGACTTCTGCTGTTTATTAGATAAAATATTAATTTATAAGAGCTAGAGACATAAAAAAAGTGACTTAGATTTTTATCCTATAATCTGAGTAGGACAAAGAAGAAACAAAAATATTTTGAAAAAACCTGAAAACTTTGGTTCTGCATCGATATTGATAATCTAAAAAACAAATATAATTAATGTAGCTTTCTTATTTTTTCCTTTATTCAATACACTTAGATCAGGGATCAGCAAAGATTTAAAAAAAAAACAGACACAACTTTTATATTTTTGGTGCTTTTTGATAAGATACTTATTTAAAAGGGTCATATTGTTCATGGGTGTCCATATTAAGAAGAGTATAGGGGCATTTGCACTTGGAAAGTGGTGATTAATTTTTCTTGGTGTATTTTGAAATAGACCTAAATTAAGCTATTAAAATAAGGAATAGGAAATTAAAATGACACACAAAAACATGACCCACGGCTCTTAAGTGATATGACATGGAGAGGGGAGACCATGATTAGAGGCAGTTTAAAAAAAATAACTTTATAGCTGTTAAAGTGATACTGATAGTAATATAACATCTGGTGTCTTAGGACTGACAGAAAAAACCAACCCCTAGCCCAAAAAAAAATAGGACCTTTGATTTAATTTTTAAGAAAGTGTATCATATTATGTACCTGCATGTAATCTATTTCTTGAATTATTTTTGTAAAACTTTGTAGAAAGTGCCAGATCTATTTAGCTACCTGTAAAAAATATCTGTTATGTCAAAATTAAGAAATTATGATAACATATTTTTAAAATGTAAGAATAGACAATTTAGGCATATTTTGATAATTATTTCATTTATATAGATGTATGTACATTTAAGTACATTTGTCATGGTTAGTACTTTGGTAAATACTTTTTGTACATATAGAAATAAAGACAACTGCTAGATATTACAATAAGGTAATAAAATATTAGTATAAAAAAGGCAAGCAGTCAAGAAGAATTAAAATAAAATAAAATAAAAGAGCTTGAATTAGTAACGTTAATTTGTACTTTCTCTTACTCTCTACAATGCATCTTTAGGTGTCTTTGAATCATGTTTCACAAAAAAAAAAAAAATATTGGAATCAGCTAGTAAAAACATAGATGGTTAGAAATAATGGCACACATTATTTTAGACAGTGCAGATCTTTTCATGTTGATACTAAGAGCTATTACAATTATTGTACTGTTGGAACAAGAAATTTAGAGGGGAAAGTATAATTTCTAAACCATTCTTGAAATGTTAATATTTTTTTTTTCATATTATGCACATAAAAAAAATCAACAATATGCATCAAATATTTTAACACTGAATTTATAGGATGAGATGGAAATTTACAATAGCGAGTGAAAATTTCCAGTTAAAGAAAATTTGCTGCAGGAACCATGCATTGCTGCCCTCAAAATTATATAATTTACTGCCTTTAATAGTTTAAAGCTTGACACAGAGACAGGAAAATTACTGAGAACATAAAATAAGTTCCAATACTAATCTGAAAATACAATAAAAACCATTATATTTGGCTTGCACATTGAAAAATCATTGAAGCCAACTTTTAATCTATTATAATTTTTCCTATGCTGCTTGAATGACTAAATTATTCAACCTACTAAAAGAATTCTTTTAAAAAAAATAATAAATGGTAACCACATAATATGAATAGTACAAAGCTATGTTGAAATTTGTTGTGCAATATATTAATAACTTGGATAGAATGGGGGATTTAATTTTGATAGCACACCTAAAGCTAGCATTAAAAAGTGTGATGCACAAAAAGGAAAACAGTAAGAAGCTAATCTCTAACCACACCAGTTAGACCAAGTTCTGTACAAGAACCTAATGTAAAAGCCAAAATAAAAGCCATAAGTGGATTTATAACTGAACTAAAAAAAAAACGCATAAGATAAACATGGTAAGCCATATTTTAATGGCTTACTTGACAGATGTAAGTCGATGATCACAGATTTAGCACCTTTGAAAATAAGCTGAAACTTGATATAAAATGAGGAATAATAATAATAAGCAGCAGTTATAAAAGATATACACAAAAGTGAACGAAAAAGATTATATGAAATTATGCACATAAATTCGTTTGTATTTGAAAAAATTAAAACCTAAAAAAAACAACAACAAGCGGTAAACTGTCATTTAAAATATTAACTAACATGAAATTAATAATAGCACTTAAAAATTAACCAGTGCAGATCCAAAACAATTAAATTTAGCAACAAGTTTCAGATTTTAATTTACATATTAGCAAATAATAAAAACAATTTGATTTCAAAATAACTGATGAATCAATGATACAATAAAGTAACATTATATAAAAACAAGCATTATGATAGGGACCCAACAACTATTTAAACATGACATGTATTTTATGAAAGTGCTAACTTTCAACTTACATGTGGAATTTCCTTTATATTCAGTTGCTTGATAACAATATAAACCTATAACTTTCCCATTTTTTATAGACAGATATTCTTTGAGACAAAAATAACAGCTCAATTTGGAGAATAAAAAAAAAAATAATAATGCCTATTCCAACATTATAGCAGGAAATACACTTTACCCAAATTCTATTATCATCTAACAAGATAGCAATTTTGAGCCATCTTCCAGAGAATCATATGTTGCTTGAATACCTTCAATTACTTACCATGAAGATAAAAATACACCATTAAAAATAACATGTTCAAATCAGTTTAAATTTAGAAAAATATTAACCAAATTAACCAAGAGCTATTAAAAGAAATTATGGTTATCCTTTTTTTGTGTGTAGTTAGTAACAGCACTGTCAAAATTAATATACATTTTTTAAAACTGTTTAAAAAAAAAAGCAAATAGTTTATTAATTAACCTCATTGAAAATAATACCCAAAAATTTCAACAATTTTGTTTGATAATAATTCTTATATTGTTGAAAAAAATTCCAATTCATATTAAAGTAATTACTGTTTGCTTCTTTTACTCTTCTTTTATTCTTCATGGTCATTTTTAAAAAAAATGAATTTAGAACTCCACAAGATTAATATACCTTTGAATTAGCTAAATTATCGCAATAAAAATACAACAGCATTTATTACTGATACAGTCAAATAGCATAACATTTTTTCAAGATCAAATCAATTATTTTTTAACCAAAAACTTGACAACAAACAAGACTAGCCAGATGTCTTGCCAGCTGTAGCATTCTGTTATTTTTGTCAATGTGTTCGCTGTAAGTGAAAATTTTAAAGCTAAATACATTATTGCAATTTATGTTGAAGCAGCAATTTGAAGTGAGAAACGAAAGCATTATTAATTTGTAGTATCAATCAAATATTTTAAACAGGCCAGCAGTAACAAATGTGTCTCACCATATATGGGACTTTATGTTAAATAAAGCTGCTTGAACATCAGGGTATTGTATGATTGAAAAGTAGTGATTTTTTAAATCTTTATGAGTAATACAACTCATATTATCATATAATAGACCTCATTCCATCCTCAATAAACAAATGTCAATTTCTACAACTAGAAATAAAATTTATTTTACCCAATGATAATTCAACATTTTAAAAGCCCAGTCATTTAACTTGACGTAAAAAAACTTTGTTTCCTGAATGTCAGACTGAATCAATTTGAAACCTTGTAACCAACCTCCACACATCCTTACAGTGTGGAAATAATTATTAGCAGAATTAAATGATAAAACAGCTGCAACTCCCAAAAAGATCACTAAAACAAGCTTGACTGGAAGAGCTCAACCACCATATTCCAACTTAGGACTGATTACTATGAGATGACAAAACAAAAAACGCTTAAAAAGACTGGACATTGGAGACACAGCACGTTGTGACCTGTTCAAAGGAACAGACCCTGAACAAATCCTGGAGATTTGTCCCCATCTGGAAGCCAACTATCACCATTTCTCACCAGTTGGCACAGTACACCAAGCTCTGACAAGAAACTGCAGGAAGGGGGACTTTCTGATGAGCACTGGTCTTAGAGTTTAATAAGGTCATACAACATTTTGGAATGATGAAGATACACATCTTCCACTAAAGGGATATTTTAAAATTACTAATTTTTAAGGATTGTGAATGTATCTGTTGCTGAAATTATGTAGTTAACAAAAGTTCACCTCTCTTAGTTAAGTTTAAAAAAGATAGGTTAAAATCTAAATATGAGAAAAACATGTATTAGAGCCCATTCCCAAAATTTAAAAGAAAGGGAAATCTCCAGGTAAATGTTAAAGTTCTCATCTAGAAAAATTCTCTATTCATTTTAGAATCCCTTATAATTTATAATACTATCGTCCATATTACCAAGAAAATGTAAACAGAGGATATTCAGTAGTTACGAAAATATTTTGATGCCAAATTTAAATTAATTTTGAAGCTGAACTTTGAATTGGAAATAATTAAAATGCAGTTTGATAATTAAAATTATTATCATGATATTACTCTAGTAACTTTCATGTATTCATCAATACCAAAATATCTAAAAAGTGATGGTCTGATAAGCAATCAGTTTATGGAGGAACAATCGCCAAGGGAAACTATTAGATAAATTCTTGGTTTTAAGAAAACAATTATTTAAAAAAAGATATTATTAGTCTTATAAGGTTTATTAGTTACATCATTAAGAATTTGAAGATGCAGCCTTTAATTACAAAATTGCAATATTAAAAAAACAACAACAAAAAACTTAAATAACTTTATGCATTTCATAATATAGCAGGTCAAAATAAAATAAAGGTAATTAATTAAATTCACTCCATTGCTTAATAAAATAGTACAAAAATGTTATCTTAAAATGAGAATATTTTTTTGTCTTTAACAAATGTCTTTATCATACTATTAGGCAGTGGTTTTGAAAGAACTCAAAAAAAAAAAATAATTATGTATTAGGTCTGGACTGATGCCCCCTCATGATATGAGAATAAAAACCATACTTATTGTGACATTGTTTGCCACAAACATTGCACATGAAAGGGTCTGTGTGGCTATGACAACCAATATGAATAGAGTACAGTACCTCATCATCAAATGTGACACCACAAAAGTAGCATCTTGTTTCCACAACAGCAGATCCTCCAGCACTACTCACCGCTTCTGATTGGGTTCGCCCTCCTTGTCTATGATGATTACTAGACATAGATATGATTTCACATTGTACTTCACGGTCAGTGCGTGTACAGCTGTTGCGATTTAAATAATTGCATGTGTCTCTGTGCGGGGGGAATTCAATTTTTATAAATGGCACAGGGCATTGTGAAGCAATACTCGGGTCATCAGCTTGAGCAGTGCTGCTGGTCTGATGAGTTTCTGTACTGATCCTTGCTTCAGATCTGCATCCTAACCCCCCAGGCTGAGGAGAAGATGCATGGTCATCACTGCTCATATCCATACCAGACTCACTATCAAGTGTGTCAGATTGCCTGCGTGGGCTTCTAACTGGCCTATCCTTTTGAGTACTTGAAGGCATGTCATGAACTCCCCGAGACAACTGACTAATAGGTGCAGCTCTAGGCTCTGTCTTAACCTTGACAAAAGTTGATCCTGTTATGTTGTGATTATCACCATGAGTGCTATTACTGCTGTTAGCATTCCAGAATCGTCTGTAGTTGTAGGTCTCCTCCATGATTGGCACATTATTGGACGGTAAAGTTGTGTGAGATTCTTGGGGGAAATTCCTTGCTGCCTGCAAGTATAAACTTGAGGATGAAACAGAATTATTTGGGTCTGTACGTGGAGACATAAGGTTGGAGATAACAGAACGCATGTAGCTAGTCACCTGTTGATCATTTGTAGGGGCATAGTTTCCTAGCATGGCACTGCCCCTTGGTGGATGTTGAAGAGTTGCTTGTGTGTTCACATGAAGATGAGGCTCTTGGGCTGTGGGTATGTAAGTTGGAAGGCCTAGACTCGATGCATTAGAAATGCCTGTAGTTGAAGCAGCACCAACAGCTACATTGACTGGTCTGTTTGAAACAGGATGAAATAAACTACCACTGCCACCCCCCATGAACATTTGACTCTGAACATGTGGACGGTGAGTAGATTCTGGTAGGACCGAAGGATTGAATGCTTGATTAGAGTTGGCAAGGGAGTGAGGATGAGACATGTGGTGGTTGGTGATGGTATGCTCTCTCATTTTACGAATCTGTGTGGTGCTGTATTCACAAAGGTTACAGTGAATCAAATTTGGCTGATACTGACGAGTATGAAGCCTCCTATGTCTTCTGTAGAATCTTTGATTATTAGTAACGAAGCCACAAATGTTGCACTTCATTACTTGTTCTGCTGTAAAATAAATATTTGATTTAAAAAATCAATTTTTAAATGCTTTACGTACATATTTATTTACTGAGTAGATTTCTTGCCTTGGCAAAAATATTTGATATAACATACATGGAAAAAATTATTTACTTTTCATGAAATCAGATATTTTGAAGAAGAAAAATAAAGGAGTGAAAATGTCAAAATATACTTTTACTTTAACTTTACCAGTTATCGTTTTACTGTGTCACATATTGATTTATTTGAATTGTCTACTCCTCTATCTAGTAATATTAAGCAATAAATTTCTTACCTGGAGCAAAATCATGAAACTGAATGCTGAACATACATTTTGAAGGATCAGGCTGGTCATCCACACTGACCACATCTATATTTGGTGAAGCACCATTTCCTAGCCTCTCTGGAGATACACCAGTGTCTGCACCTGTAAGTCTGCTATTTTGCATACTTAAGCGTAAGGTGGACTGTGCCTCATAGCCTCTATTTGAAGCAAATGTAAATCCACTATTTCTAAGTACTTCATCCTTCTTTCTGGGACTTGGTGCCAAACGGCCATCTCTCCTAGCATTTTCAGCACGATCTGACTGACGTGACCTCGACATAGCTAAAAGATCAATTTTTTTTATTTGCCGATTATTCCTAAAAGGGGACTGTGGTTGCAAGTGAGGTTCAGGAGCTGGTGTACATGGTGGTGCAGATGCTGTTGTTCGCCCATCTTCATTTTCATCATTTCCATTGTTAGCGTCACTAAGTAATAACTGTCGTTGTGGAGAGGGGGAAGGGGTTGTTCTCTGGAAAGACATAAATGAGGAAGTGCCTGGAAGTGTGGATCTTTCTGCTCGCCGAGAGATAGGTGTAGATGTAATCATGTTTTGATTTTGGGAGGAAGAGCTAATTTCTCTAGTAGATGCAAGTGATGTTTGAGTTATAAATGGACGAAAAGCTGATGAAGATGAACCTGGCAAATGAAAATCATTGACCCTGGGTAGCATTGGAGCAATGGTACATGCAGGCAAAGCATTTCTTTCTTGTTCCTTTGGAATAGTCAAACGTCCACCTGGTCTCACATAATTTGGGGAGGTTTCTATAGATGATGATGCGCTTTGAGACACAGATGTAAAATTTTCAGCTATAAGTGTTGATAATTCAGATGAATTAGGAGCTGTACTGACCACAGGCTGATGTTCTATAACAGATTCAACACTGTCCATTTGATCAGATATAGAATCTGGCATAGGCGAGATTTCTTGAGGCGAAAGAGATTCATCAGCCATTATCAGTCTATTGGACAAAGACAATTATTTTAATAAAATTAATTGCATCATTTTCTCATGTTGAATCTAATAAATATTTTACATTAAATAGTTAAATCATAGATAATTAACTACTTTTTAAACAAAAAATTATGTATTTCAAATCACATAAACTGTCTGTATACTGAAGTATAATGAGATTGTATTAAACAATCCTTAATGATAGATAATTCATTTATATGAAGCTTACAAACCTTCTACTTTTAGTACTTTTAGTTATAAAATTCCCAAAATCCAAATATCTACTAATGACAACCGATGTGCACTTTCTGAAAATAGACATATTGAGAAATAAATGGTGGAAGTTACATTACATTCTTTGTCAACATTTAATTGAGAAATATAAATAGGCTTTGGTACTGGTATAAATTATTTTGGAATTATTTACTACATAATTAAATGGGTTGTCGATCACTTGCTGTCAAATTAATATTGACATTTTTATAGAGAGGCAACTTAACAAAAAAAGAGCTTTCTGTATAGAAAACAAATCAAATGTCACTGTAATTGTAAATGACAAAAGATGTTTGGCACCTAAATTTTATTCAAAATTCTAAAATTAAATAGGCCTAATATTATTAGTTATTAATGTTAATTACTAGTAAACTAGTTATAGGTACTTTTGACATAAAAGATGCATCATTTTAAAGGGCTAGCTATAAACTTTATAAATACAACACTTTCATCCCCTAACTTTTATGGAAGTGGAGTTATGATTTTTAAAAAAACATTTTTAAAGCCCTTTATTTATCTTTGTTTTTAACTGCGAAAATGTGACAGAATATCCAAATTTCTGCCTTATTTTGCCCACACCTTTTTTATTTTAAAATATAATATAATGTTACCTAATTTTCAGGAGACATTCTCAATGCAGTATAAAACAAAATGAACAACAAAATTTTACATAACATGAAGACTTTTTATTTTGATTATGTTATTTGAGGTTCATTCAAAAATCCTGAAAAGAAAAATTATTACTTTTAGTAGTTTTAGAGGGCAAAAACAAAAATGTAACATGTTTATTATATTTTTATTTAAATATGCTTCAGTTGAACGTACACCAATGCTGATATTTATAAAAGGTAAGTAGAAGTCTTTTAAAAAAATTAAATGAGGGTATGAAATTATTAATTATTTTTTAATAAAATATAAAATCCCCCAGAAGACTAATGAGAGTAAGATTATAAAGAGAATGTGATTAAAAGGTAATGAAGATGTTCTGCCTGTCATTTTCTGGGTAGACTGCACAACAGACTTCATCTTGTTGATTAATTCTACAATCTCTCCTTGATAAACTTTGTCTTCACCATTACTATTAGAAAACTATCATGAAAAACTAAAAAAAAAAAAAAACGAGACACTGTCAAACTGAATGTTGAATAAGGTACTTTGACAGAAATTATAATTATTGTCCTATTGCCATAAATGATACACCATTTTAAAGGGCTAGTTATAAGCTTTATAAAAACATCAATTTCATCTTTCTATATTTTATAGAAGTGGAGCTATGAATTTTTTGGAGAATTTTTTTTAGCCACCTTCTTTATATTTGTATTTAACTGCAAAACGTGTGACCGACTTCCATATTTCTGCCTTATTTTTCCCAAAACTTGTTTATTTTAAAAGATAATGGTACCAAATTTTTCTGAAACATTCCCAAAGCAATATACAACACAATCAACAACAAAACTTGTACATAACATCAAGATTTTGTATAATTTTATTTAAGACTATGCTAAGAAAAATGTGTACAGAAAATTTGCAAAAATCATCATTTATAAAGAAAAAAAACACAACAAAAAAAAAACACCCCTCTTCGGCAATGGAAGGAATTCCCAGGTCTGCGATAGAAAATTGAAATTTTCCCTTGTACTCGAAAGAAGCCTAGAAATAACCCCTAATCGTAATTCTGAATCTAATCTATACAATTTCTATATTTCTTTTCAATATTATTCAAGTTTTGTGTTTATTAAAAATTCTAATTTTGTGTATTTTATTAGAAATATTAAATATTTGTCTACTCATGTGCCTTTTTTTCTATGTCCTAATAAAATATATTACTATGAAAATGATGATGTTGAGTCTTATTTATTTATTTATAGTAACTAACATACTCTATAGCCATCCACAAATAAGAAAATAATAACTGTTCTTACTACTTAGACTTAGACCTTTATTCTATATGTAACATTAACATGTAGGCTGGGCGTAATTTTAGCAATGATATTCTCTTTACTTATAATAATAATAATAATAGCTGAGCAATGTCACTAATGATAGAATAAAAATTATTGTTATTAATATTATTCAAAGTATTATTGATTTAATAAAGAACAATGGATAAAATTTGTAGGTGTACATTTACAAAATTTATTAATATAAATTGATACAAATACTTTGACTATATATAAATATTATTATATAATTATTTATATAAATCAAGGGAAACAACTAGTCTGAAGTTCACCCAACTACGCAACGTAACATTTTTTAAAACTCTTTAATGCATTGGGTTGTATTAATTTCTAATAATATTGTAAAACTGTTTCCTATTCATTAACTGATTAGAGTTCAACATATTTTTAAAGATGAACAATAATGAAAATATTTTTATACCTTTATATTTATATTAAAATGATAAGAAGAGCCATTGCCGACAACCCAAATTTGTCAGGGGGAATAACTGGTGATAATTGACATTTTCATTTACACTGGAAAATTCATAACTTTTAGGGGGAATTATTAACCAAATAAAGTTATTCCTGTGTGAATAAAAGAAGCAGATCCGCCCCAAAGCGCAATGTACAGCGATTTTGCAGTAAAAAATAATAAGCTATTATGTACATACCAATACATAAGAATAAGTTTGTTGCCAGTCTCAAGGTACACTGTGCTGTAAAAATAATATCAGTGTTTGGAAAAATATGCGCTTTACGTCATTGATGACAAAGTAATTTATTATTAGAAAACTGTGACATAAAATGCAAAACAACGAAGTCCTCCCTGAGCTGAATGTAAAATGGCCACAACAGTTTTGCTTCATTTTTTGGCAGACTGCGTGCGCGTGAGTGTTTTATAGTCCCTAGTTCAATGGCCAAAAAAGTTTGACATGCGCAGAATGGATGCGCAAACGGATATTATATGATATAGTAGTACCTACTAGTACTAGTTTATTTGGTTTAGGCCTAGTTGTTGTTTTGATAGTCATGCTGAGTACTAGTACAGAAAAATAGTAAAATAATATTTAAATTTTAAAAAAAATTACTTAAAAAACTTATTTTAATTTAAATAAAATACATGCTAGTAATTAGGTCGAGGCCTAATAATTTTTTTTAATTAGGCCTAAAAATTATTAAAACACACCAGGACCTATTTGAGATTGAGTCAGTATGAGTAGTCCTAGAATTAAATTGTATTTTTACTTTTTATTTGTTTGAATTTATCAGGCTGAAGGTATTCATTTAAGGCAAGGTAAACGTTTTAAATGTACAAAATTCAGAGCGTAAAATAAAAAATAACTAAGCAAATGAAAACAATAGGATCCAAAAAGCTTAATAAAGAAAAATAGGGGAATCAACTGTTAAACTGTATCAGAGTAATCATACTTATAATAAATAATACTTAATAATATGACGAAACGCGGTGAGTTACGCGGGTTTGAAAGTCGGGCGAGGTGATTCGTCGCCTTAGGTCAGAATAGTGGTTCTAGTAAGAAGCCATAAACAACAATGAACAGTTCACATACTTGCCTATCAAATAACTCAAGGATTATAAACACTTAGTTAAGGAATACAACAATTTAAATTGAAACAATCATAAACAATGATACATAATTGAGAACAAGTCGCCATTTTGTTTGCAAATACCGTTGTATTGTCTCCTAAACAAAAGATTTTCTAGGGGAAGCAACTTGCGCGTACATTGTCGTTACCGTAGATCTTGCAAAATTTGGTCAAAGCAAATATAATAATCCCCATTCATGAAAATAAAAGTTAAGTAAAGTGTTTTGAATTTCTATTTAAAAAATAATAAATCATTAGGCTCATTTAAATTTTGATCTTCATTTGCATTTTACATTTATGCTATATTTCAATTGAATATTTAATTTAAAGTCAATGCTCACAATACTTTGAGAAGTATAAGTAGGTCATGTGATCTTAAGTCTGAAATAAGTCTCTAGGTATAAAGACATTCACTACAGACTACAGCAATCACTGCCAGTAGCGCTGTACATGTAGAGCCACCACTTTGTATTGGATAATTGCCGAATTACGCAAGAGTTCTTTCCACACGATCAAGCGCGTTTATCCAAAATATAAATGTTAAAAATACCAATTTAAGCTGTTTATTTTGCATAAGTTTTACGCGGCTTAATTTTTTAATTTACAAAAAATTTATATATATTATAATTATAATAAATTATAGGCCTAAGGCTTAGGCCTAGGCTAAGGCTAATAATGTGTGATGAAATGACTGTTGCCATAGACTAATCATGTCATGAATGATGGATATTATAATATAAGTTAAATGAATGTCTATGAATGACTAATTAATGCCGGTACTAAAAAAATTTAATATTAACATGAATGGCCAATTAGGCCTACTAATACTAATATTAAGGACTAATGATCTAATCTAAGACTAAGGCATTAATAGGCCAAAATAATTTAATTAGTAGGCAATTCTATGAATGATTTTAGTTTTAGTGAAGATTTAGTGAATATTAATATAACAGAGCGATTAGTATTTTATTTAATTTTTAGTACTGGCTTATTTCATTTAAATTTAATTCACTATAGACTATAGACTATTCTACTGTTCAAGTCATCAAGCTGTTCCGATGGATTTCTATCAAAGTCAAAGTCAAAGTCTGCTTATGTGTTTTAATTTATAAAATGTTCAGTTATTATAGGCCCACTTTACTTTATAAAAAATGTTACTTAGATAGACAAACTAGACCGTGTGAGTGACAGTTATAGTTGATGAAAATGTTACAAAATATTTTAAAACAGTATTTAATGTTAATATTAATTAAGTAAATGTGAGTGATCACCTACACTGAACGTGAACTCTGGTGCTGACACTGACTGAATGAAGGCTTACTATTGTACTATAATTTTAAAATATAATAAAATTATAGGCCTATATAGTATATAGCCATCTTTTCATTTCAGTTTGCATCTGATAGTAATAGTGGATAGTGGATAACTAATAACATACTAGTATTGCTATTAATAATTGAATATACTAATAGACCTTACTCATATGACATAATAAAGTTAAAGTTAAAGTATAACGTTACTATAACTATAACTAATAAATAAAAGTCCATGCCATAATGACAGCATATATTTTTACAAGTCAAAACTACAATGGCGTGACACAAATGCATTTGGAAGATTATTTTGATGTGGTTGAACTTGAAAATCTCTATCAATGGGTTGACAGAATTCCTCTAACCAGACCTAAGAAGAATATAGGGAAGGACTTCTCTGATGCTGGTAGGTAGCGCATTCAGTTCTGACTCATCAAATGATAAATATGTCATATTAATTATTAATATTAATGGGTCAAGGGGTGTTTAACCATTTTGTGCAAATGTAAATGTAATTCTTGCAAAGACATGAACCCCCGTCGAAAATTTGGTACGGTAAAGCCTATTTCATATTCATATGAACCAATAATGTAGCCTATTAAAAAGATTAGATCTAAGTAAGTGGGAAATATTTGTCATTTTTGTTCCATTTATAATTTATATAAAATTTAACCCCTGCTTTGAAGGGCCCAAATTAATAACAATCTCATTATTTTTCATTCTTTCAACCTACTCAGTCACTCAGCTTCAGTCCAAGTAATTTGGGTTCAAGTTTTTTGGTTCAAAATTAATATAGGCCTATATGATGCAAAATCTTTCCTTGTTATTATTTTCACTTTTAGTTTTAAGTTTAAGACCTGACTAAAATGTGTAGACCTTGTATATGACTCCGACCCAATCTATTGATTTCATATGGGTTAGTTGAGGTCATTTCATACAAAAGTGGAATTGGTGAAAGCGTTCATCATACATTTTCTTTCTTAGAATATATGCTTTTTTGGAAGTAATCAGGAATGCTACCAATTACTAATGCATAGAATAGTATTCAAAGTTTTAATGTATCATTTAAATTGTGTAAATTCATACAATTTAATTTTTTAAATGGGATTAATTAAACAAACCCTCTTTACCAAATTTTTTGCTCCACTGGGATTTTGGAAAAGAATTTTGAGATGGATAGGTCATACCATAAGAAATCTGATGCCAAATATAACTAGATCTAGGCAAGCACTGGTATGAAACCCTCAAGCTCAAGTGGACAGGGAAGACCCAAAAATACCTGGTGACAAGGATGTAATTATGACAGGAGAGAGTTAGAAATAGCTAGAAAAGATATCAAGAGATCAGAAAGAAGTGATATTGTTAAACCTAAACTAATGGCCTATGCTTCTTTAGGAGTTAAAAAGGCAAAGAAAGAGGGGGAAAAAAGTAATATAGGCCTACCTTTTAAAAAAGATTTTTAAAATGTTTAAAAGACAAATTTATATTTGACCATTTTTAAACCAGATTTATTATCAAAATAGTAACTCCTATATTTATATTTAAAATGAATGTGAAAGATACTCATTTTAAATGGAACATAAAATTCAAATTTGTTTCTTTTTTGTCTTGTTTTTTGAAAACTCTAAAATTATATGTGAAATCAACCATCCAACCTAAGAGACATTCAGCACTCAGGGATTCTTTTTGGGTCAGACAAATGTCTGGGTTTCACTGCATTGAAATAAATATTCAAAACAAGTAGTTGAGACTCATTTTCTTTTGGGTTGTAATATTGCATTCATCAAGTTAGGCATTCAAATGCAATGTTCTTTTTATTGTCTGGTTTTGTTATTCAAGCTACAAGATATCTTATTTGAATATCCTTTTGACCTTGCTTGAACGCAGTCTATTCTATATTATCCATTGACCTTTATACTTTAATTAATGTAGTTAACATTGGTTGGACTTGTCAAATCTAAAATTTAGGCCAAAAAGAGTTTGACAGAATAGCATTTCAATTTAGAAAAGCAAATGTGAATCTTTATTAATATTATTGATGCATTCACAAAAGAAAATTTTAATGAAGGTCTCAAATAGGTTAAATATATCTGATGTATATTGCTTTTACAATTTTCTGCAATTATCAATCATGGATATTTGTGGAAAATTTTGTTGGCTTCATGGTCATTAGTTTTTAAATCTGATTCTCTTATCATTCTATAGACATATTTTGTTGCTAAATTTTCAAGCTAAATTTTCAAGCTAAATTTTCAGTAAGCTTTATCAGTTGAGCAGGTAGTTGGTTAAGAATAGCGTAATAGCACTTGAAAAATAGGTGGATCGGTTTGAGTGGTGCATGGAAACGTCAATAGGATTATATATGTCTCATTGAGTTTAACCATAAGCTGACATGACTTAGCTGGAATGTCTTTATCTGGGGTAATATAAAATTGGGAGCTATTCAGTGTCACGTGTGCTTTAGCTTTAATCTAACTTTTTTTCGTGTAAAAGTTGTAACAGTTAAATCTCCCCCCATCCCCCGGACGGAAAATAAATAAGTTTGACTCATTTATGGCATCTATTTCAGATCAGTTTTTCATTGCCCTTTGGGTTTAGATATTAACTAAGTGTAACTGAAGCACTTTGGTAACAGCTCACAAATGTAGGAAATTGATTGTGTACTCCTAAAAGTATGAAAGAACAACTGTACTGTAATATAACGTTTTTGTTTTTGTATTGTGTCTGTTTGCAGGGTCACTCAATGAATTAAAGCAATGATACTGGACATTTTTCAATCTTTTTTACTCTTTGCAAAGGCTGGATTTATGCAGGATAAAAACTATTGCTTTTAGAACTCCTTATTTACCAATTGGTCTTAGTCTTAAGTCTTTTTACAATATAAATATAACGTTCATGAACAGTTTTTTTGTGTATTTTTTTTTGAGTTACCGTCCAAGGGATTTCTGATTCTTGTGTCTTAGAACTCAAAGGCAAACTTTTTTTGAAAAGCATAGCATTGTTGTTAAGTACTGGTAAGCATTATTGTTAGGTACCGTACTGGTAAGCAGTGTTGTTAGATACCATACTGGTAACAGTAGATAAGAAAGTTTTGCCTATTATTTCACAGGTGTTATTTAATTATTTTTTTTTAAAGGAACTAATAAAATTATGAAGAATAGGTTCGTGAACTTTGGTAAGCCTTCAATTGATTGGGCTTGGTACGCTACTGTATTTCATGGCCTTTGAGTTACCAGCAACATCAATAATACAGGCATCATTGATTAGCCTTACATGAATTTTGTATTGTTGGCACCATTATTTTAGTATTGATTTTCTGTTGCAGACTTGACAAATAATGAAAGTAACAGTTAATAAGTTAAATGGTTATTTTGTTACATCTAATAAGGGGGGAGGGGGTGTAAAGATCCTTGGGGACTTCTGAAAGTTAACATTTTTTATTTTTTGTTATGTACTGTACTGAATGTATGTTTATTAACATTTTTAAATTGTGGATGTCCTCTCTGGCTGACCTATTTGTGAAACTGCAAACAAATTAGAATCTTAAACCATCAAGAAAATAGTAAAATTTCATGAGAGCGTTCACTATTTTGTTGCTATTTTATTTTTTAACAAATGTAAACAATACCCAATAATTGGGCTTTCGAAACTTTTTTCTCCTATTCTCAGGTCTGGTTGACCATGACTCTTTGCTCTTTCTTTGTAATTGCTATTATACTTCCTGGCATTTGCTCTGTGCACTGCCGTCTGCCGACACCTGCATTCCCAGAGAGGGAGTAAGCCACATTCTGACAAGTGCCAACAAGAGGGAGGGGCGGGGGGGGGGGTTAAAAATGTGCATATTTTGTGCAGACATCCTTTTTTTAACAACACCTATGTGAAAATGTTAGTAACCTGCACATTAAAAAATTATCTAATGCTTCGACAATGTCTAAGGGGTCGTTTGCAAGAGAATTTGGGACACTTTGTGACAGGGGGGTGGGGGGTGGGAATGTGTGACATCTAAAATTTTATAATTCTGAAAAAAATCTTTATTTAATTAATTTTTAAAACATTATTTTGAGGTCGAAATTGCCTCAGGTATTTTGGGTATCATAAAACTCAGTTTTCTAATAACACTACCTCTTAATCTATTATGGGAAGATGTTAAAGAATAAAATAAAATCTTAGTTTAGTTATGAAAATTTAATGTATGCTTTGAATTTTTTCAAGTGTGACGTGTCACAGGGGGTGTTAAAGAATTGTGAACTTCGTGATAGGAGGACGGGAAAGGGGGACGGGAAGTCTAAAATGTTCATTTTTAGCATGACGTAATTTACAAAGACCCCTAAATGTCACACAATCTTTAAACTGTAAACTTTAAAGGGAATAATTCTGTACAGACTTGTCACATTTCTCTCACAGTTCTGGTAGCTGAGATCATCAAGCATTATTTCCCTCGCCTTATTGATGTACATAACTATCCACCAGCTGTAGGCCCTAAACAGAAAATGGAAAATTGGTTTCTACTTAATAGGTGAGATACATTTCATATCTTAAAAAAAAACAGGTAGAGGTAAATGACCTACCTAGATACACTTTTATCTAATGCAACACTTGATCATAAAATAATTTCAGTTAACAATGGTTTACAAAACTTTTAAATTTTAAAGGTAAAAATTCAAAGTTATAAATATCACCCCAAAAAATCACAATTGGAATAAAGAAGAAAAAATTTATTTTTTATACATCTAGCTGGCCGCAGTTTTTAAATAAAAGGACGTGTTGGGCTGTTGACCTATTGGCATTGGGGACTAGTGAGTGTGACAGACTCACCGTTAGGCAGAAAAGCATCTATTGCTATTGGTGTAATTATTCAACCATTTTATAAAATAAATTTCAATTAAAAATAATAGTAAAAAACTTAATTTTTTTGCTTTATTAAATTTATTGTTCGTCCCTATTATTTTTGCGCACCAACATTATGTGATCCAGATACAAAAACATGTGGCACAATCACTTAAAAAACACAACTGAAATATTTAGCTTCTTATGATCTTCCCCGGTCTCCGGTTGACAAGTCTGTGGTGGCTTGTCGATTAGGAGGCGTCGGCCACCGACCCCCTCAACGTTACCCGGGGAACACAACTACTGGGGGCGTCCTGCGTGGGCAGACATGGGATGTGCTCGGTACCTGCCGTACATAAAACAGCTCCTCCAGGGCTGCCAGTTGTGATATTTCCCAACTGGAACAATAGGCAGAGACAGGGTAGGGATCATGATTACAAGTTGCCATTAATGGATATCAGGCGAGAGGCGAAGGTGGTAACCTCTGGCCGATGATTCTTACTACGTAGACCTGAGAAGCTGCTCCAAGGCAACCGTTTCGTCCCAGCTGCATCGCGAATTAGTTGCGTTGTGGAAACCCAATGTAGAATCCCTTTTGTAGGGCGTCTAACGCTTCCCCAGGGTGGGTGGGGGAAGATATTAGGAAGTAAATTTTTCTATCCCGACTCCTGAGAAAGTCGATCGAGTGCACTGTGTGCAAACACAGTGTCGGACCGACCGGGTGTCTTTGGGTTAGGACGGCCCCCGACGGAGACCCTGGTCGAGCAGGCTCGGGTGGGGGCTGTCCTGACAAAGGGACATCCCCAGTGTGCCGCTCCACGGCCCGATACCGGGTTGGGGAGGGGTGTTTTGGGGAGGGCATAAAGAGCGCAGCTCGACGGCCCGCTGACGCCATATCTTAATGTAACATTTCAGCTTCTTATGATATATTAAGATTTATTAAAATGTAAAACTCTCTATAAATGATTGGATCTGACGTCCTGAAATACTCTGCCCAAGGGTACAGATAAAGTAAAGTCTTTACTGGGCGATTTAGTAAAGTCTCGGTATTGACTTGATTCTGTGAAAGTTGACTTCAGTTTTTTTTCTTTCTTCTTGAATGTGGTTTGCTCATGTAATCAACTGCCTGACTTGTAATTTTATTATATTATTTCAAACTTGAAATTGTTAATCTTATTTTAAAAGTTTCTTCTAAGGAAAGTGCTGCACCGTTTGGAGCTGGATTTATCAGAAGATGTTATTAGAGCTCTGGTCAATGGCAAGCAAAGCGTTGTGGAAAAGGTTCTCATGATGCTTAGGGTTCAAATTGACAAATTCATTGAAAGATTCAATGCCATGAAAGCTCGAACATTTCAACTACGAAGGTGCCATGGAAAAAATGGCATAGAGGAAGACATATTTGGTGGTTGTAAGTTTTTATGTACAGTAAACTGTACAATTTTTTGTTTCTAGGAAACTAAAATTTTTATTGTACAATGTAATGTAGCCTATACCATACAGTACAGTTATAGAGCAATGGATTAAGGGTTGGGTTTTAACATCACTAATAGTTCTTTCTGAAATTGTACCAAATTTTAACATTCAATTTTAATTTTATCCATCTGTAAAATTCTTATTCAGGACAGAAATAAATCAAAGATTTATAGTATTTCGATTTTTTTTTCATATTTTCCTTAAATCGCATAACCCTAATATTCATTTCTAATACATAGCCCAACCTTCAAGCACTCATCATGACAATGACGGGAAATCCATGATGTCTTCAAGGTCACGGCCAGGAAATATACCATTTGGAAATTCAAATCGAATGTGATTTTTTCTCTGTTCTTTTTAACTTTTTTCTTGTCACCTTTTGTTTAAATAGTCAAGGGCATTGTTGCATGGGAAATAATGTGGGAAAATAAAATTAAGGTTCCTGAAGTGCTAAAAATAATTTCTCTTCCCTATTAAAAAGGGGTTTATAGATTTTTTAGCTGATAAATTATAAATATTCCGATCAAAAAACAGAATAAGGTTTAACAAGGTATATTTGAATTGAAAAATTATTTTTAAAATTACACTTGAGATATTGTGGATTCAATTCAATTTTGTTTATATGTTGTGTTGTAATGTGAGGCTATGTGAGTTCTACATAATAGAAATATTGCAACATATCAACTTATTTTAAATCATACTTCATTTCAATCATTGTCTCTTTTGATTATTGGTCAATAAATTGTATTTCTCTCCTTATTAACTTCATTGATGTTGCAATTTTCATGACTCTAAATTTCAGAACCTCTAAACCAGTTTTCACTGCACCAGTGACTGATAATGTACCCATAACTCTTCTAGAGGATAAAAAACTTGAGTGCAAAGCTAAAGATGAGACTGTACAAGTGAGCAAACACTCTGTTAAGATTAAATTATGTGAGAATTGTGAAATCACAAGTCAAATATTATGAGTAAAATACATAGTGAGAATCTGTTAAAAATAGTTGTCTTTAACTTTAAATAGGCACTCTAATTCTATCTATAAGTTAAAATAAAGTATCATACAGCTAGGTCACAACTAAGGTGGTATCAGTTCAGTCTCAGTTGTGATTAAGACACTTCAACCTCTTCAAGAAACAGAGGTTTTTTCTGTTGTAAACTTTTTTACCCAAGAAAGCAGAAACAGTGGCTTGGTTAGTACAAACAGACACTGTCAGCCTTTATTATATAAGTGTCAATCACTTCGGTTTTCTCTTTATTGTTATGTTAGTAAACTGAATACCTCTTACCAGACACATGTATATTAAATAAAAGCATACATCTAGTGTAGGAATGACTTTAATGTTAGCTATTAGCATTTCAACAGATTACAACTTGAGTTTGAAGATCGATAGAAAAAATTAATATGATTAAAAAATGTGTTCATTGTACCGAGATGACTCTGTTAAAATGAGCAAATATTAAAGTTTTCTATTTTTCTATTTTAATTTTAGATCCTGAATGTTAAAATATTAAAAATGGAACAGCTTTTACAACTGAAAGAAGATAGAATACAAGATCTAGAAAGACGACTAAAGTTACTTTGAAATGAATCTTTTTATTCTATGTTTATTTTAATGTTTAAAATGTTAAATATCAAATATGAAATTCTTCATTTAAAATAACTCTGCATACACGGTACCAGTATTGAATTCTAATTTTAAATATCAAAATTAATTCTTGATTTTTTATGGAGAGTAAATTACTTATTATAATCATAGTTACATTTTTAAAATTAAAAATATATCATCTATTATCCTATATCTAGTCCTGCATACCATTACTTAAAATATAATTTGCATTTAATTTATTGAGGAAATTAAAATAATTTATCTATTTTACTTTCGCACTTATCAAAAATATTAAATTTAGTTACTTTTTAAAAATGATACAGTATCTAGTACCGCTGTTGAAAATAGGTTTCATAAATTAATTTTGGTTTTATCATTATTATAATTATGATCCCTAGTATTTTAGTAATAGCGAAAATTCTTTTGGTGAATATTGCAAATTACGATTACATCCCTTTACTTTACAGTATCTAAATTTTGCTTATTTCTTACTACAGTAACTAACAAATCCCATTATGAGAGAAATGAATTGTGTGGACATTAATAATTAAATAATGACTTATGTATAATGTAATATAATATGCATATTTTATTTCTAGTGATGTTTTGTTCATGACGAAATGTAATGCTAAATTAATTAACATTCTCCAATTTATTTAATAAAGGCGGTTAACATATAATTCTTATCTATTATAAGATATTCTATAACAATTGTAGTGGTAAAAAAATCTCCAATGAAAAAATGGTATAGTTATCGTAAACTCCAAGATTTCCCTAAAGTATTTAAAACCATCTTGTTAAGTAAAAGTATCAACACTTTAATCGAGCGCATTGTTTGGTTTTTTTCCTTCAAAAGTCAAGTATGGGTAATTACAGATATAAGCATCTTTTTCTTTTTTATTTACCTCACCTCAAAATGCACTTAAACACATTTGAAAGAATAATGTTTTATATTATTTATTTTTAATTTAATAAAGATCCAGAAATTTTCCGCCGCCCCCCCCCCCAAAACACCTTTCCATGGAAGCCTATGTGATTCAAATTTAGTTTACTTTTCTGTTTAAGGTTAATGAAATTATACCACTTGATCTACCATTGTCTTGATCCAAGATTTAATCTATTCATTTTTACAGCCTTATTGTTGATTTACATGCTGTTGGAATTTAAGCATACCGGTATAATTCAAATTTTAATTTGTAAACCTGTAAATGATAAATGTGAATACTGGTAACAAGATGATAAGTACATTTTACCTGTTTATTTTTTTCTTTGTGTGAACATTTTTTCAGATTATGGAAATGTTAGTTTGACCTGTAATTGTCATATTTATCAGTTGAGAAATAGATTTAAAAAAAATTAAAACAATAAGTCCAGATTAGAGGAACCGACCCCTTAACTTCACTCAGCCTTCAACCCTAAAACAGATAAAATAGTCATTACATATGCTTGGTTTAATTTAAATACATTATAGCCCTTAATTTAGTATTTTGTTTAAGCATTTTAAATGCGATACATATATTCTGCATTTTTAGGATCCAAAAAACTTGTATTTTTAGAGTAAATTACCTATGTTACAAGGCTAAGCTATTTACCGAATTTCAGCTCCAAACAATTAGTGTAAACCAGAGCAGTTTTGATGTAACTAAAGGAGGAAAGTTAAAATAGGTTTAGTAAAATGTTTATCATTTAGTGTATTTATATTAATACCGGTAATTAGTAATTAGATTATCAAGCTTATTGTGATACCAGACTCATTCAAATCAATATCTTGATTATCTGTTGAAAAGATAAAAAAAAATTATGACCTTTCCATCATTCTGATGTTTTGAATAGTTTTGATTTTAATGCACTATAATTTGATGTTTACATTTTACTTGTTGAAATTTGCATAATACGATATCCCCATAGTCAAATTGAGACAAATGATTTTTTCATCTAAAATGTATGTTTGAACGTGTAGTTAAGATAAGATTCTTTTATTGATCCAATAATATGGCGATTGTTTTAAAAAAAAATTACAAATACATTGAACATATAAATTTTCAGCACATAAAAATAAATATCTTTTTAACCAAGACAGCATTTAACGATTTAAACACAAAACATCTAAAACTATTTCTCTAGTTAAAAAATCAGCCATCATTTTAAAATAAATAAATAATAATAATAAAGTTCATTTCAAAAACACGCTTCAAAAGGCTCGAAGCGCGGTACAAAGTCAACAAAATACAAATCTATAATTTACCACATTTAAAACAAACGCAACACTACAAAAACTAATTACTAGCATACAATTGCAAAGTCTTTCTAGCCATTTCAACCCCAAGCAACACAGCCATTATGCATTAACTAAAAAATAAGGTTGACAATCATCCCAGAAGGTGTTTGCGAAATAGGTGTGTCTTTAAATTGGTTTTAAAGGACTCCAGTGTCTGGTTGTTTCTGAGATCGACAGGAAGGGCGTCTAACTTTAACTTTAGGGGCAAGAATTTGCTCTGATCGAGCTGCTCATAATAAGAGTTGTATGTAGGCCTATCTGTGATATAGAGGGTGGGATATACCATCCATTTTTTAAATTTTATTTTTAAACTTTTACAATTTTCAACATTTTTCTTCAACTTCAAATATTTCTTGGATTGAAGAATGTTTAGTTTGTGTGATATTACTACCTTTCTTTAATATTATATCACCACCTTTTCCTCATAGTCAGTAAATTTTATAATATTAATGAAATTGAAATGATCTTGGAATAAATATAATGAATAATGTAAGCCTTTAAATTATTTTTAATCATTAAACATTTCAATCATTCATAGAAGATAAATTAATAAATTTTATACTGATTCACATTTTGTTGTTGCTACAATCTGTATGGCTATGAAAAGATAATTAATTAACCGGTATTTTAATAAAAAAAAGTACTTTATGAAAAACGAAATGGTTGGGTCAGGATATAATATAAATTATAAACATGTATATTTCCTTACAGTATTTCTTCAGTACCGCTAGGCCTATTTATTAGTAATTAGTAATACTGATATTTTTTCAACAGAAACAACACACAATAATATTCAACGTCAATGTTTACTAATACCAAGACCAAGTATTAGGCCTACTAATAATTTAAATTGCATTCATCAATGAGACAAACGTGTTGACAACTTTGCATATTTATAGGGATGAAGGCCAAATAAAGGACAACACACACCCACCCCCCGCAAAAGAAAATTAATTCGCTTGTCACGCGTCCTTATTAGTATTAGTCTTTTGATTTCAATCCTTTCCTGCTTGTTGACATTAAAAGGAAATTAACGAAACAAAATATGGGATAACATGGCAAAAAAAAGAAAGACAACAAACGTGTTGTCAGGAAGCCATCCTCAGCTAACAAACAACAGTAAAAACAAATGTAAAATAAACAGCTGCTATATCAATCAATGAAGTAACTGGTACCCGAGATAACAGCAAGAGGAATGTGGGTCGACACGACCAGGGCCTGGTTACGCTTAGTTCTTAGATTAGAATTTCGGCATACAGTGCATGATTTTCAGATGTCTCTTACTCATACGAATGCATGTCAAGATCTTTCAGAACTTCAATTTAAAGAAATCGGATTGATGAAAAGATATTTCCGGTACCCTGGTAGTTTTTAAAATTAAGAAAGAAAGAAATAGGCCTAACATCTTCGGTTTCAGCTCCACTCTATATCAATATCAGGCGGTAAAAAGACCGAAAATAGGATGGGTCGGAGACCATCAGTAATTATATTACGTACGCACTGAGCGGGGGAAAAAAAGTGGGCTTAGTGGGGTGGGGGTCGAAAATTGAGGAAACTGAAAAATGCATTTTAATACTGTGCAGAGAAACAGTAGCACTAGATTTTAACATAATTTTTTTTTCATAAGTTCTAGTCTATAGAAATAGAAGATTCATTTGATATCTGTTACCGGTATAGAAGAGAAGTCACGAAGCAGCTTTACAATTTTAATACCACAGTTTGGTTCCAGCACTCCACTTCCCTTCTCACAATACAGTTAGGCCTACTTATTAACTACAATAACGGAAAATAAAATCAGGCTCCTTGGCTTAATGCAGGGATGGCCAACCAACGGCACCCCATGGTAAATATCGCGCCCGGCTGGATATCTCGGAAATGAAAACTAAAAGTGCCGTATTTCTTCATCATTAAATCATTCTTGGCATAATGTACTTTTGAAAGAAAGTACCGTGTACCCGGTACAGGCCTTGTACATCACCTGCTGGTGACGTTATGTGTGCCATTTCGGTGTACCCGCCCCTTGTTTGGACTGATTAAAAACAAATAAATTATATTGATTGAAACAGAAAAAAGTAATCTAAAAAAAAAAAAAAAAAAAAAATTATAACGAACACTTTTAGTAATTACCCGTACGGTACTAAAATTTAAAAATCTATTTATAGAAACGCAACTGGGTAAGGGCCACCTAATTTTCCGACTAAGTGTAGAATGGTGCACAGCTCTTTTCGGGTAGGCCTAAACACAAAAGTGCGTCCTTGCATTTTGAATGTATACAAAAATTATTTCAGGAGAGGGGGGGGGCCTCAGCCCCTCACCTAACTTTACCCCTACCGGGCGCCTTTTTATTTGCAAATAAAGCTCTGTACATAAACGGCAATCGCCTACATTTTGAAGTGACCATTTTTAGACATTGACATTAGTTGCGAATAGTTACAGTATATTAATTTATTTTCTATTACGTCAATGTATTGTACGCTTTTGAGTTGGCGAAGTACTATTCTGAGACGATAGTGTACTATTTTGGGAGTTCCAGGGTAACCAGGTCTGCTTGAATAAACATTTGAGTCGATCCGTCCTTAATCTATCCCCCTCTCTGTCTATGATCTAAATAATTACGACTACCGGTATTTGGTAATTTTCTATGAAACATTTCGTTTTAATGTTTTGTTTAAAGCTAGTGTAACTTCCGTTGAGTATTAAGGGCCTATCCATAAACAACGTCACGTGAGGGGGGAGGGGGAAGAAATCGGCAAAAAGTACGTCATTTATGGATGGCAGAGCCGTCGTGTGGGCTCTCTGATGTTGAAAGGGCCCATTACTGTGATGTTAATAAGAAATTTAACCATTAACCCTGAATGCAGGAGGCAGATCACAAAAAAACAAACAAATACTGTCGGGGTGGGGGGGGGCGCTTTAAAAAAAGTCACGTGACGTCATTTATAGATTCCCCTTACTAATACCCCCGTTGCCGTCAACAAGCTCAGGCAAAGTGAGCCATCGGGTCTAATCCTCTTACAGCAGAACATAGAATGCGAGCATATTTCACATGTTCGTAATCCAGATCACCTTTGTTGGCCTTGGCAAAGCGAATTTTCCCATAAGACTTAAGAAATACCGTAATGAAAACTGATGATTCGTTCCACAACGAAAAAATAAACTTATACCGGTACTTTATAATATTACGGAACCGGTACGATACTTTATAATACTACGGTACCGTACTTAAAAATATGCTTTTTTTTCCGGCATTAAATAATTCATATAATTAAAATAAAATAATTTCATATAATTAAAAAAAAATAATATAAACTAATCTAATTTATTGCTTAAAGTTGATGTTAGTTGGTATAAGTAAGTGAGAGGAGAAGATGAGAGTTACAGTTATTGTCTACATTATGACGACTTTCACTGTCACAAACAGAATCACTGTATTGTTATATTTGCATTTTCATGTGACTTTAACAAGGAACCGATCCAACGCCACTTGCCTTTTGCCTCCTTATGAGGATTTCGTGGAAATGTGACATAGCATTATCGTTAAACTGGTTCATAGCCCGCACTGCAACAGCCTTATTCGGGTGGTGCTTTTCTACAAAATTTTGCACTGTTTCCCACATTCTACACATCTCTCTAATCTCATTTGAACTGAGGGATTCCTCCAGCATTTTCTCCTCCTCCTCTTCAGAAGTGATCTCCTCCTTAATCTCTTGTAGTTGCTCGTGATACTGAACCATGCGTTCCTCAGTGGTCAGTTCCTGGCCATGGTCCTCCACCATCTCTTGAATGTCCTCCTCATTCACCTCCAGTCCCATTATTCTTGCCAAGGACACTATTTCCCCGACAACTGACGGCTCCTGTTCATTAGCGAACCCCTGAACGCAATCAGACCACAGTTTTCTCCAAGAGGAGTTGATGGTTCTCTTGGTGACCCCATCCCAGGCTTTATCGATGATCTTGAGGCAGTTCACGATATGGAAATGATTTTTCCAAAACTCTTGAAGGGTAAGGTTTGTTCCTTCGGTCACCTCAAAGCATCGCTGAAATAGCGCTTTGGTGTAAAGCTTTTTAAAGTTCGAAACGAACTGCTGATCCATGGGCTGGAGCAATGGAGTGGTGTTGGGAAGGAACTTGACCTTAATAAAGTCGAATTCCTCCAATAAGTCGTCCTCAAGGCCCGGAGGATGAGCAGGGGCATCGTCCACAACCAGCAGCACTTTGAGGGGCAATTTTTTTTCTAAAAGATATTTCTTCACTGCTGGACCGAAGACCTCGTTGATCCACTCAACGAAAAAGATACGAGTGACCAAAGCATTACTGTTGGCCCTCCACATAACGTTTAACTGGCTCTTCTGTACCTTGCATTGCTTGAAGGCACGTGGATTCTCAGAATGATAAACGAGAAGTGGCTTGACTTTGAAATCGCCGCTTGCATTAGCACACAACAAGAGGGTGACGCGGTCTTTAATGGGCTTGTCGCCGGGAATTGCATTTTCGTCTGCTGCAATATATGTCCTCTTTGGCATATTTTTCCAGAAAAGCTCCGTGTCAACGCAGTTAAAAACCTGCTGCGCCAAGTAACGCCCTGAGTCGATGAGCTCCTGGAACTCTGCGGTGAACAACTCAGCTTCCGAACAAGCAGCCTCTTCGTGTCTCATAACACTATGGAAGCCACTTCTTCTCTTAAAGTTATTGAACCACCCCCTGCTCGCCTTGAATCCTTCCTCGTTTTCTGTCGATGTATCCGGCAGCTTACTAACAAGGTCGGCGTACAAGGCCTTTGCATATTCGCAGATCATTTTTTCGGTCACAATGTCAGTATCACCTGCTAATTGCTTCTCATGTATCCACTCAAGAAGCATCTTTTCTAAACGTTCCATGATACGTGGCCGCTGCTTTGATATTGTCGTTACACCTTTTGCTGCGTCTAGCCTCATGATGTCTTCTTTCTTCTTTAATACTGTGCAAATCGTCGACGCAGACTTGTTATAAAATTTTGCGATGTCGGCCACTCGCATACCACGTTCGTGCTTCTTGATCATTTCTTTCTTAACTTCGACCGTAATCATCTGCTTCTTCTTACCGCCTTCCTTTTTAACATTTTTCTTTATGGGCCCCATTGCTGCAGTAGAGTTACTAAAGAACCATTAATGTACTTGAACACAATATGGGGAAAATGCCATACGCCGACACAGCTGGTTTCAACACATTTGGTAAACAACACACGCTCGCCCGTGTGTTCACGATACGAGTGAGGCACGCCGACTGTGACCGAGCGTGGGAGACGATTACCCATTGGCCCAGTAGTGATCACGTGACGGTCGGCAGACACAGCGTACACTGCCTTTTCGTATTGCGAGTTATCGCTCGTTTATCAAATTTAAATATTATATATATAGGCATGCTTATATTTTCAAATTTTTTTTTTGTC